CAAAAGCAGCCCAAGATCATAATAATCCAAAAACCACCAATTTGCTGTTGACTAGAAAGTTGTTACCACCTTTGTTTCGTGAAGTGCTGTAATTAAGTTTGGTGATACTCCTGTAATTACCCAGCAGTTACAAACTGGGATTGTTTTCATACACTGGTATTTCCTCCCCTCAGTGCTGACTGGTCCATCGAAGCTTTGCTCTACAAATGGAAACTGAGGAGCATTCCCATTCCCTTGCAGGCCTTTGGAGCAGACAAAGAGCACTTGGCCAGCTCTTCCCTACCAGGAAGACATACCATTGAAATGATGATCATCTCACTAGCACAAGCAGATAGTACTTAAGTTTATTCCACTTGTTTCCAATACAAAATGATACTGAACTGGGAACTGTGTGTTGTAGCACAGACCAGCAGAAGAGAGTCCTGTTTATAGCAAACCTCATGCATATTTAGTGGGAAGCAGATCCCTTTAAGTAATCCTTAAAACATGCATTGTAAAAATAAAGCTGTTTGATTGTTCAGCTACGGCTTGAGAGATTTGTGCTCCTCCCCAAAGACCGTTGCATAGCTCAAAAACTCAATGTCATTTTGTGCACCACAATACAACAGAGCAGAACCACCTGACAAGCCAGAAGAGCCAACTTGAACTTAAAACTTCAGCTGTGAGGAAGAGTTAGCCATACTCTTTCAGTATTAAAGAGTCAGATCTGTTTCCCAAGACGGAGGCTTCTCCCCAGAGATTCACATACAAAACCCAGCCCCTTTGTTTTTAAATGACTCAGTGGTCATGCAGTCCTGGAACATACAAGCTCCTCCGTTTGTAGAAAAGTACTTTTAATCCTCAATCAAGCCAGATTGCAAGTATTCAGATGTTTCCATTCCCATTTAACATACATGCATAAAAGTTAACAAAGCATTACAGTAACCCTTGACACACGATGGTTTAAGTTACAATTCATTTGGTATCCAAATCAAGAAACAGAAATCATCATTGTAAGATCAGCTACCGCCACGCAGCAGCCTGTGGCATCAGGGCAAGTACACAGCAAATGCAATTAGTACTGCTCAGTGTCTACATAACAACATCCAACAGACCTGTCTGGTTTGGGGTTTGGACTCTGGTGTGCACCACTTGCCATACAATGTCTGGGTTAGTCACAATACTGGTTAAAGTTTGCCCTTAGTAATTTAAAAGCCACCCCAATAGATAAAATCTGTAGTGGCAGAATGCATTCAGTTACTACAGAGAAGTTAAACATTGTCAGTGGAATTGCAGAAATCTTTCAAAGCTAAAAATAAGCTGACTCAGACATTAAGTTGAGAAAAGTTAACACAGAAAAAATGTTTAATATTAACTACAGAGACAGTGGGTATAGTACAGAATGTCTTAAGCAAAAGATACACCAATCAGTACTTACAAAGGAATGAACCATTTTTTGTCTTAACATTACATTTCTCGTATATATAAGTTCATATATGTAGGTTGGTAAAGTTTTACCATTCTGGAAAAAATAAGGTGTGTATATCATCAGCTAGATGTGCTCACTGTATGCTCCATTATTTATACGCAAGGCCCGGGTGACTGGAAGTGCAGTTGTCAGGCATTTTAATTAACTGGACAGCCATTTGTTTCTGCACGACAAGGCATCGTTACACAGGAGCAATCAGGAGAAAACAGGAAACAGCCAAGCACTCTGCACTGCAACACGCCACCTTAACAGCTAACCAGCATTACTCAACTGCTACACAACTGCGCCTAGTGCACAAAAATACATAAGAGAAGAGATTAGAATTGAGGCTGATAAAACAATCCTTTTCAAATATTAACTGTCACCTGAAAAGATTTTTATCAATTTCAATTTAAAGACACTATTTTAATTCAAAGTAATAATAATTAAAAAAAAAAGCATTTACAGTTAAGTTTCAAATTGAAGTCTGGCAGGGTTTTATTTAAGGAATGAAAACAAAATTGAAAGTAGTTTTTGACAAGAGTTAGCTACTCAGCATGTAATGGCTGCCAGTTTCCTCAGTATGAAACTGGAGGCAGCAAGTTACCATCAGTTTTAATTTGAAATAGAAGTCAGCACTATATAAACAAAAATGAAGTTTTACCTCAAATATCCAAGCCAATAATGAAATCGGTAGTCGTTCACTTCACTAAATTACAAGAAATTTGAATAACAGCAACAAAATGGCACATAAAATGTAAAATCTGCCACTTGAGGCGCAACTTAAACAAGTAAAAAGTTAGACAAAATGTTACAAAATAACCTTTTCATCAGCTGGTTGCTCGGGCCAGGGCTCTCCAAGGGACTGAAGACTCAAGCGATCCTTTCCCCCCAAAGGCGTCCTTTATGGAAGCTCTCATTTATGTGATGCATCTAGGTTTGAAGAAAGAAAAGTTCAGCCAGGTTTCTACCTTGTCTCTCTTGGTTGTGGGGATGACTTCAGGTATATTCCTAGTTGTGTTTCAACTGGCTGTGCCTAATTTAATTAAGTTTTAGAAGTTTCCATAGTGCTCCACCTCCCCCCCCAAATCTGTTGCTTTATTTCAGAGGCCAAATGTAAGGTTCTGTATCAGAATATGTAGTTACAAAGAAGAGTAAGCATCAGGCTGGAGATCAAGCCACCATTAACTTCAATTCAGCCTGTTCAACAATAGATTATTAAAAGTTATTTAAAAGTTATAAAACTAGTACTTCTTAAAAGACTTAACTAAACTCTAAGTAGCATTCAAAACAGAAAAGGTGACTAATTTTGCTACAGTTATCTAACTCCAATTCTAGCTTAGGCCCTTTCCTTTCAAAAACAGGACCAAACAGTTTGAAGGGTTAAAGACACACTATCCTTTCCCCACCCGGTGTGTATCCTTAGATGCCTCTTCAAGATGTCAACTTGAGGAAAAAACCTAGTTTCCGTGGTTTTCTCTTTGCAATTTGCCACTTTTCTAGAACAGTTATTACCTCCAGTCAGTTTAACGGCCACTGAACCGATCTTCCGTTATAAAAGGATAGTGTATCTTTAACAGTTAAAGACAAACCTGCTCCAATACACGCCCACAGAAACTGGTCCCTGGAGGATCAGCCAAATCAGTTAAAATCTGCAATACTGGCCAATATTCTTTTAGCAAACAGGAGACCGCAGCTTTAAAGGGGAAAATGCAGATGTTGGATAAATACAGTAAGAAATAGTCATTTTTCATCATAGGTTGCGTCTCATACAATATTTTATTAAAACCAAGCCATTAATCTCTCAATAAAACATTTTCTCTGTTTAAAAAGAAAATCCATGTAGAAAGCCCTTTGGTATTAATTTCCCTAAACCAATAACCAAAAAAGCACTGCTCAAGAAAATAAAAACCAACTAACAATGTGCCCCGTTAGGATCCACTTGCTTCAGGCTATTAATACTCTACAAACTACCCAACACCCCACCTAAGTACTATAATAAAATAACATGCAACATATGCTGACCCTGAGGTACATTACCATGTTCCTAGGAGGATACAGCTCCTTCTTCTTCCGGAGACTTAGGAGGGCTCTTAGATCTGGATCTAGAGTTGGATTCCCTCTTTGAGGCAGGGGGAGGGCTTCTAGATCTGGACCGGGATCTAGACCTGGACCGGGATCTGGAGACAGATGAGGACTTTGATTTGGATCTCCTGGCAGACCTGGACTTGGAGGTGGAGCGAGATCGAGAGCGTGTGCGAGACCGGGATTTGGATCGACTGTAACGGGACCGACTGCGGGATCTAGAGCGGCTCCTGCTCCTAGATCGGCTGCGACGGCGTCTTCTAGGGCTGAAACACACGAGGAGGGGGAGGAAAAAAAGGCACGTTAGAAGTTGAACAGGGGCGGCGCAACAGACTCCAGCGACCACTTCAGGACAGGGAGGGCGGAACGGGACCCACGTGGGCAAGAAAATGAGTGTTCCGAGGGCGCCATTGTTCGCAGCGAGTGGCCGGGGGCTAAATCTACTACAGCGCAAACCCCTTCCGCTCCGAGGAAACTCCACGTGCCTTCACTACTACACCCCAACTCCCCGCTCCCAACCCCGCCACGAAAATCACTCGGAAAAGGACACAGACCCAAAGGCCCCCACCACACAGGCACATACCCGAGGCCCGTCTAACTGCTTAACCTCCGCAACCCTCCAGGCGCTCACCTGCGGCTGCGGCGGCCGTAGCCGCTGCTCCCGTAGCGGCGCGGCGGCGGGCCCCTCCGGCTATGGTGCGAGTCAGGGGGGCGGCCGTAACGGGCCATTTGCACTCGGAGCTCGCGGCCGTCCAGCACGGCCCCGTCCATGGCATCCATCGCATCTTCGGCATCGCGTTTGTCGTGGAAACGAACGAAGGCGAAGCCACGGCTCTCCTTGGTGTAACGGTCCCGCGGGATGTAGACGTCTCCCACACGGCCGTACTTCTCGAAGACCCTCCGAAGCGTGTCCGGGGAAGTACGGTAGGTCAGGTTGTCCACCTTGAGGGACGTCATGCCCTCCACGTCCGGCGGCGGACGCCCGTAACTCATGGCGGGCAACAGCCCCCGAGGGGCGGCGGCGGCTGAGGAGAAGAAACCCTAAGGAAGGGAAGAGGGAGCGCCTTACGAGACGGCGCGGCCCTGAGAGGGAAGCGCTTCACACCGGAGGGGGAGCGCCGGAGCGGCGGCCTAGAAGAGTCCAGAAAGGAGGAGAGGTGCAGGGCATAGGGCAACGCCGCAAGGTCCTCAGCGAAGAGGGAGGCGCAGGCACCCACCTCGTTGTTCCGGGGTGGGGGGCAGAGCAGGCGGCCCAAGGCCGGAGCGGAGGCGCGGCGCCTGCAACGGCCTCCCCTGCCCGCCGCTGGGAGGAAATGAGAGGGCGCCGCCCGCGCGCGGATACTTAGCGCCACAAAATGGCCGCCGACGACCCGGAAGTGAAAGCTCCGCCCCGTGGCCACCTCCCTCCCCGTGGCCACCTCCCTCCCCGGGCCGCGTTTTCGTTTTCCTTATTATTATTGTTCGTTTATTTTTCACTACCGGCCGCGGATCCCGGAGGAGCGCGCGCGGGAAAGCGGCTGCTAAGTTAATAACTCACCCGCTGTTCAAAGTGACCGTTGAGGCGGCTCCGCCGTTGACCCGGAAGGACTCGGCGGAGGCGGGGAAATTTTGAACAATGTGCGCTGAAAACGGTAAAAAAAAAAAAAATTAACCTAAAATCCTAACGGAAACAGGGCGGGGGCTGGGGGAGGGGCGGGGCGGGGAACGCCGCCGGGCGGAAAGGGGAAGTAGCGATCCCGAAGGGGATGGGCCCTCACGCGGGTGGGCGGGGAGGCGGCTCAAAATGGCGGAGCGCTGTGAGGGCGGGCAGGCAGGAGGTGCGGGTCGGGTGTTGTGGAGGCAGGCGGGCTGTGGTTCTGAGGGGCAGACAGCGCGCTTCGTGGGGTTTTCTTCACCCCCTGCCCACAGCGGTGCCTGGGGAGGCCGCCTCGGTCCATGCGGCGCTGGATGTGGGTTGTGGTGCGGTGGTGGAGGCCTCCTTGAGAGGCAATCTCCCGCGGCTGCACCCGTCTGTGCTGGGGGGCTGCGAGTCGAGCTGGGAAACCTCAGATATCCTCATTTACACACCGCGTGCTCTGCGATTCTGTGCTTTGTTGAAGTGGGAACGAGGGAGGTTAGCATAGCCCTTGTGTAAAAGTGACAGATTCACAGAGTTTTGTAAGGAATAACGTGAAAGCTGCTTCCCCCTCCCAAAAAGGTGTTGCTAAGTGACTACTGGCACTGAATCGAATTCCCAGGCTCCAAATGTAAATTATAATACCTTGTTCTTTTCTCAATAAGTGTGTCTATCCATTTGTTCCATAGTACTGTGTTTAGAAAGAGACAATAGTGATTTATTTAGTGAAATGATAGCATTAGCAATGAGAAAACAAACTCAGAATTTAAATTCTCCTTCTTGCTGCAATTGTGTTTAATATTTTTTGCACTGAAGTATGAAAATAAGAAGTGACATCGACAGAAACCCAGAAGCAACAGGACTTCAGGAAGTCAAATAAACTGGTACCCATTTTCACATCATGCATTGCTTTGTGCTGTATTTGTTCTGGTTTTGCCCAGATAATTTTGCTTTAAAATTGTAATTCATCTGCTCAAATGTGAAGTTTCTCTTCACAATCGTTTCCCTAAAGTGACCGAGAGGGTTTCCTGTGTCCCTTCTTCCCCAGGTTCAGTCGCTTCAATACAAGCTGTTACCAAAAGGATTGCTCCAGCGCAGCAGCCCAGTTTGCTGTGCAGGTAGATGAATCCTTATGGTGGCACAAGGGGAAGAGGAATGAGTGGGACACAGTGTCCAGAGGATATTAAAAGGCTGGTACTATGAATTCATAGTTTAAAAAAGGAAGAAGAGAGCTTTGCTTGTGTTGAACACCTCCCCACACACACACCTTGATAGTCTAATAGGAGGCCCAACAGGGCAGACAGAAGGCAGTGACAGTGAAAAGCAGCCATCCCATGTGATCAAGCCTCTTTTGACTTTTAACAGAGATTTTCGCAAGTTAAAGTTCAACTGCTCTGAAATTTATTATTTAGAAACAATGTGCAGTGTAATAGTAAGGGCATGTAATCGATAATTATAATGCTGTTCCTTGAGATAAGGCAGTGAAAGATTATGAAGACTCTTTTCTATCCTGAGTCACTGGGAGGATGACAGAAGCACCATGGGGAGCTTGTGTGCTGGTGGCACTGAGACACGTGGTTTTTCCCAGACAGGATCATTTTCCCTTTGCAATAACTCTGTGTGGATTCAGTGGATTAAACAGTTGTCTTAGGTGATTTCCTGAGGCTTTTCTTGCCTTGCCAGGCGTTATTTAGTGGGTAGAGATTACAATTCTTAGACAATTGCAAATCATTTTATGTTAAGGATTAGCAGACTACCACCCCTTTAAGTAGCAAAGGTATACTTTATAAAACTGCATTTCCCAGAGTGCATGCAGGCTGGGTCAGCTGATGTAGATTGGGAAATGTTCCTTATTTCCTGTCCAACATGCATGGAAATGACTCCTGTGGGCGAATGTCTCATCTTTCCTTTGTCAGGTGATTTAGAGGCTGTGTTCTGGAAATCGGATTTCAAGCAATGGCAAGCAACCGAGCTGATGAACTAGCTCGATACCTTGGAAACTTCTTCATCTGGGGGAAGGTGATGTCATGAGGAAGTAACACCCTGCAGTCTGCTCTGTTAACTTCATGGGAAAAGGTAGAGAATGTGGGTCTTTACCCTTTGTACCAGATTTTTCCTTGGTGTTTGCTTTTCAAGTTACTGATTTTACTGTACAATATTGAAGAGCTGGTTGATGGTTATGTCCTAACAGCTGATAAGTAGCCCGCAGTAATCATCATTTTTTAAGCTTTCTTGTTTTTTCTTTTATTCCTTTTGCTTGTTTAGCAGTTAAGAAGAAACTTTTAAAGAAAAAGAGACTTCTTCCAGACTGAAGCTGAGGCCTTGGCAAGAAAACACAAGATGTCTCCTGAATCCAAAAAACTTTTCAACATCATTATCTTGGGAGTCTCATTTATGCTTATATTCACTGCTTTCCAAACCTGTGGAAATATTGCGGTAGGTGTGGATTTCAAAACATGCTAAGTTTTCTGTCACAGTTATTTATCCTGCCTTGCCTTTTGTGTACTCTAAGAGGTACTTTATGTGGCATTTGTTAGTGTGCAAGACACCTGCACATTTTATCTCTGTCGGTTCTGTGTTAACTAGATGAAGTTGGTGAACTGGATAATTAAGCAGTTTAAGATAGCAGAGCTATGCATGGTAATGTGCCTGATTGCTTAGAAAGGAGAAAATTAATCTTACCAAATGTTTGCTGTTTAAAGTAGTGTCTGTTTTGACACTTGAAATATTGAACAATTGAATTAACGTGGGATTTGTCATATTTCTGATTATTCCATATAGTCTCTTTCAAAATATTTGCTGAAGTTGTTATTATTAACTATGCCCTCGAGTGTTTTTCCTAATCTAAATGTATTTTTCTGTTCTAACAAACTAGATATTGAGGGGGAGTATGAGGATAACATCTGACAAGTAGTCAGACTTCCGTAATTGCTACAACTGCCATAGTAATTTAGTGCTTTAGTAGTGTATATCTCTTTGTGTGCTGAAGCAAAATTGAGCATAACATAATCCAAATTTACCATTAAAAGCAGATTGCTCTCTAACTACTTGCAGTTTTAGAATCCTGCTACTGATATACTCAGTCCAGATCCTCTAAATTACGGAGCTGTCGACATTGCTTTCATTATTAGTAATGTGCCTGAAAGACAGTTAGATTTCAACATATCTCTTGAGCCTACTGGTCTTGCGTCTTTTCTTGTGTGCAAGAAGGATCCTTCCTGGGTTCAGGCGTATAAATGTCCTTCACTGCTTTATAGGAGTAACTACTTTAAAATGGGTTTTGTAAGCGTCATATTCAGCATGATACCAGATGTGAGTACAGCCCAGGAATCTGAGAAGTTCTGCAGTGAATTGAGAGCACCTCACTAAATTACACCCAGTGATCGTGCAATCATGTAATTTATTGTCATTAAAGTTATTCCAGGTGACTTTCAGTCAGTTCTGCCCACCAAGCCAACTAATTCCATGGTCTCATGATCATTAATGCTGATTCAAGGGAAAAAAATAGGAACAGGGAAATAACAGGAAACCAGAAAGAACGGAAACTCTAATCAGAAGCTGAGAGTTAGGCCAAATGGAGAGTATTTTGAAACTTCTCCTTTTTTCCCACTTTTTAAATTAAGATAGTCATACCTTAGAGAGGGGTTCAGCGAAACAAAACTTCTGTGAAATATTTTAAGGTCTCTGATGAAATCATGATATACCGGTTACTACTACAAACATGTTTTCCTGCCAAGTGTCTCCTTCACCTTCATTGTGGAGGTGGTGTGAGTTGTAATTAACACTTTAAGTACTTTGTAGAGTCTATTAATGATCAATTCTAATGTTTGATACTGACTTCAAACGATGCAAGTGTTCTCAGACTACAAGATATATTCTAGCATATGACAATATATGATTTTCTCCTCACAGCAAACTGTTATCACAAATTTAAACAGCTCGGACTTCCATGGCAGTGGCTACACAAGGTAATTTACACAGATCTTACTTTGCTCCTTGCAGGGTGAAGGCAGTTATAATGCCATCTGGTAGAGATATACTCTCAAGAGATTGTAGCATTCTGCTGACTTCACAATTTAGTGACATACTTCAAGGAGTTTTAAACAGGCTTCTCACATTCACTCCAGTTCTACTTTGAATTACTTCTAGTTGAACTTCAGATCTGTTTTGCATATTCTCATTCTAGGGAGAAAACCCACCATATGGTCATCACATTGTCAGCATTTTACTTTAGGAGAGGAAGAATGTGGAAGTTTTAAAATAAAACTGCTAACCAAAGTCTTGCTTGTTTGCCTTTAGAATAATAGAATCAGAAACAACCAGGTTGGAAAAGATCTTTAAGCTTATCAAGTCCAGCCGTTCCCCAGCACAGCCAAGGCCACCCCTAACCCATGGCACTAGGGGCTTTGTCTCCATGGTGTGTGAACACTTGCAGGGACGGTGCCTGCAGCCTTGCCCTGGGCAGCCTGTTCCAATGCCTGAGCACCCTTTGGGGAAAGAATTGTTCCTCAGCTCCATCTAAACCTCCCATGGTGCAGCTCAAGGCCATTTCCTCTTGTCTTATCACTTGTTACTTGGGAGAATAGACCTTTGTGTAGGATAGGTGGCATGGATAAGCTTCCAGGAGATATTGGAACATAAATGGGAAAGAAGCAGTCAGAAACGAGAAGCAAAGCCACTAGAAGCTCTTCTGTTTAATTGCGCTGGCACATTCAAACTTGTCAAGCGTGAGCAGGGACCTTTTGTATCCCAAATTAACTGGTCATTTAGGAGAACCTGGTTGCTGCTTTGAGGGGTTATTATCTTCTTTAAACTAAAAATATCATTGGCAGAAAATACATCTGTATAAATTTTCTGTGGTGTATTTGGCAGAACATAAAAACCTCACTGAGAGACAAGTGAGGCTCTGGAACATTCTCCTCTAGAAGTCCTAGGCACAAAGTACAGTAACTGTTGTTGAGGCACAGCGTGACAAATGCATATTGTGAATTACCATGCTTGCCTGCAATAGTCTATTCAGCAGTCCAAGAAATGTTCCCATACAGAGTGCAATGGATGAAAGTAACATAAAAAAGGAAGGAAATGTTTGACCATGAAGGTTATTCAGTTACATAAGTTGTGTATGTACTTAACTTGATGTTTGGGAATCAAGTGAGCATTCCTAAATCAGTTGCACTTATACCCTGTGTTTTAAGTACTTACTCATCTTTGTTTATTTTTTGTAGCATGTCCATCATTTATGGAGTATTCTCTGCATCAAATCTTATCTCACCCTCGGTGGTTGCAATAGTAGAACCTCAGCTCTCCATGGTTGTTAGTGGTGTATTTTATAGGTAAGTATTACTTTTGAATTTTTGTCTGCTTCCTCTTAAATGTTTCTTTGTCTTTTTGACATCTAAGGCTACCATGCCATACATAACATTGTACTGGCTAAGCAAAGCACCTTGGAGAGATACTGTTTGTATCAGTAGATGTGTAACTGCAGAGTTACTGGAAACAGAGTGTATTTTTCCTCCAGCATTTCCAGACTTTGGAGTTCAGGTGTGGTCTCAGGGTAATGACTCTAGAAAATAAAATTCTACATGCTTAGTGGAGTAAAGTTTCCCTTTTTCACGTACAACCTAAGCTAAGTGAGCTATCTGATTGTTCAAAAGC